AATGAGATTAAGTATAAGATTTCCTGAAATGTCAAACGACACCGTCCAACAAATTTGGCACTACTTACTATTGTGAATATAAATTCGAATTATTCCTTTTTATTGATCTAATTATATAATTGCACTCTCTCTGTGTTATCTGAAGGATAATAAAAATATTCCCATTTGAACTGAATGTTATAATTTGGGTCATTTTTAATAGTTTTGAACTAACTCCGTGTATATTTACATATCAACATCTTTTTTGCGTGTATAAAATGCAAATCTTTTCATTAAACGAATCAAAGAACAAAATCATTTGTAAAAAGTTAACATAATAATAATTGGCATCTACGATCAAAATTACGATCATTGAATAAAAAAATAACTGAAACAAAACATCGATCGATTTTATCTACATAGTTGTTCGATTTTATCTGACAAATATGGAAGCAATATTTTCGAGGCTTGCAGTGGCTCAAAGAAATTGACGCTTTTGTTGAGCATAAAACAACAATGCGATACTGCGTCGTTATTCATTGGTAGTTTTCATGCTCGTGGCGCGAAAAATACGCGATGAACGTGACCGATGAGGATGTATTCATAGTGCATCATTTGTTCGATATTGACGAACATCAAGTAAAATTTGGTTATCAAAAGATTATGTAATTATTGTGGATGTAATAAACGTTATTTTACACAACTATTTTTCTTTTGCAATTATTAAAGACATTTTTATTAGTTGCAAATCGATATGATTGGATAATTTTGGAAATTTTTATGCTTTTATCTGCATATTTTTTTTGTTACACGCTTTTTATTTTACAATATTCTTTAAATACAGGAAAGAATATATACATATTTCTGTATAAAAATTCTCTTTATATTTAAATTACTCAAACATTGGTTATAAAATAAATTTTTCGTTTATGTTTTATTTGATTTTATGTTATAACAATTTATATTTCTTGCAAATCCAGATAATAACATAATTTATCAATCACTCTAAAAATGAAAAGCGTGATAATATCCATATTATTTATATTTTACATAAAAATCGCAATCTTATATGAATATATATAAACTTTTTATTGCTGCACAAACGGCTCTCAATCCGCGTCGTGTCGTATAAATTTATATATGTTTTAAAAATATTAAATTTATTTGTATAAAACAAACTTACTGAAATTTAATGAAATAATTGTAAAAAAAGTAATGCGCGAGTAGATGCAAAATAAATTTTATAAATTTGAATAGAGTCTGAATAGCATTTGAATTTTCGAAATTTTACAACTCGCTCGATATAGCGGTAAGTACACGATTCCATGAGGTATGTAATGCAGATTGCTCGGGCGGAACTGCAATGTGCAGGACGTGTGGCATTGTAAAAGCGCGACAAGTCGGACAAGGATCGATTGGGCAACAAATTACCGATCGCGCCGATGGAAAATGAACCGTTAAGCAGCCTTACCTGACAATGATGTACGGTTAGTTTGGCGTAAATCAGTAGTTTCTACTCGCGGCAATACTCGTTCCCCGGCTGTAATGTGATAATTTAACAGAGGCATTATTGCACGAACAGGTGCAAAATATTTCAATGAGGCGCGTGCGGCCTCGTGATCCGTTACGCTAAAGCCACATCCGCGCGTAACCAGCGCCCGCGATAAATTTAATTATTATTTCGAGCGAGAGAGGTAAAGCCCTCTGAATCCAGGACGAGTATCGAGATGCATTTAATTGTAACGACGACCAAACATTTTGCGGGCAAAACTTTCTATTCAGTCGCGTTTTCCTTTTCTGTCGCGGCGTCACCCTCGTTCTGCACTTCTTCGAATTTATCGTCAGTCTCTTTCATCTCTCGCGCCGTTTCGCTGTCTCTTTAATGGAAGTTTCAAGACTAAGTCTGTTCTGTCTTCTTGTTTCTGCAGGCTGCAGAATTCAGACGGTCTTAAATCCGCGAGAGCCCAATTATGCGAATTAATGTCGAGCTCACAAACTACGACTGACAGTTTTATAACTACATCGGTGGCGCAAGAACCGTAGATTTTACACGCGAACTATTCGCTGTCGCCCGCCGACAGGCAACACGACCGAATGTCATCAGTTTCGATTGTTTGCTTGTTCCACGTTTGTTCACGCGCGGAATTCATTTTCGAAGAATATAGGAGAAAGCTTTCAGCTGTGATATCCAGCAAACATCGTTTATTCGTAAAAAAATATTTAAGGCCTAAGACTTAGAGATTTAATTGATCTCTTCTAAAAACATTTTTTTATTCAATTTCTTAATAATCTCTTTCAATTGTTTTAATAAAACGACAAATATTTACAGTTTATAACTGTGGTTTAAAAACTACTTTATATTTAATTTCCATCCAAGGTGAGCCCCGAAGATATTGCATGTTAAAGTAATATTAGTAAAACGGGATAACGGATAATATTTCCGTATATAAAATTCGTAAAATTTTCGTTCGGTTAAATTTTAGATTCGTAAACGTTATCGTTTGATGATTCACACATATATATAAATATAAAAATATAACGATTAAAAGTGTTTATTACGAAGCTATCGCTTACAGTCAATTATTACGCAGGTTTCATTTGTAAATAATACAATTCGTAAATTTTTGATATCGGGGTGAATTTATACGCTTATATCTGTACACATTGCCTTTTAATGATCTTCTATTTAGAACAGTTCTGCATTTAGCCTCGCTAATCTTCAAGAGATTATCTCTAATTAAAAGTGGCCCTCCGGAATAAGCAATGTTTTTAATATTTTTTTGTTTTTAATATTTTTCCTTTGTTTTTCCTCGCCCGACTAGTATACCGCCATTGTCCACTGTGCGACGTAACGATTATCGCTCGCACAAAAGTCTCTGTATAATATCATACCTGAGCGTGTTGCATATACGTCTGGTGTACAGGAGCACGAGATTGCGAGCGAAATAATCTACGTGTGTTCGATAATGTAATTCGAAATTAGAAGTTAAGCCGCGAGCAGCTATATAATTTCGGAACGATGGGAAGGACGTGCGAAAGTGTGGTGTATGTACGCCGCGTCATGCCGCGCAAATTCGTGCGCGCATGTTCTCCAATATATTCTATCATCATTAATCATATTTCATCCCCCTGCATCCATACTAATGTATCCACGATAACGGTTAAAGCAAGTCTGTAAGCACATCTGTACGTTATTGGTACTATTATATCATTATTAATGCGATTAAAGCGAACGAACTCATGATGCCCAGTCCATCAGCAAACGCAAAGAGAGAAAGAGAATGAAAAAAACAAAAAGAATGAGAGAGAGAGAGAGAGAGAGAGAGAGAGAGAGAGAGAGAGAGAGAGAGAGAGAGAG